TCAAATGCTGAAAAGAAACAAAAACAACTCAAAGAATGGTATTTATGCAAAACTGTCCCTTAAAAAATGCAAGATTTTCCCAGACAAAAGCACAAAGAATACATCACCACCAGGCATGACTTAAAAGGAATGCTAAAAAGAATTTTTCAAATTGAAATAAAAAGATGACAAACAGTAACATAAAAGTATAGGAAAGCATAAAATTTAGTGGTAAAGATAATATACAACAAATACAGAACAATGTAATACTGTTCCAGTGGTGAGTAAATCATTTTAATTTTAATACAAAAGTTTAATTTAATTTAATTTTAATACAAAAGTTTAATTTTAATACAAAAGGCAAAATGATTAAAATAAACTATTAATATAAAAATGTTATTGTATATATGATATGAAAATGGAATTTGAGATATCAATAACAAAGTGTGTGAAAGAAAGACCAAATATATAGTGGTTTAGAACTATTAGAAATATGTGATGTGCAAATCCCTGGTAACCATAAAGAAAATACCTATAATGGATATAAAAAGAAAAAGGAATTAAAATACACCAGTGCAAAAACAAAATCAACAAAACATTCAGAGAGCAGGAGAGGAAAAGGATGAAATAACTATAACACAAACAAAAACTTAACAAAATGGTAATATTAAGTCCTTACCTATCAATAATTACTTTAAATGTAAACTTGATTAAACTCCAAAATCAAGATATACAATAACTAAATTTATATTTTCAAGATCCAACTATATTCTACCTATAAGAGACAAAGTATCTATCTAAAGTATCTTTYAGATGTAAGGACACTTAGGTTGAATAGAGAAGGATATTCCGTGCAACTAGCTACCAAAAGAGAACAACAATATCTATACTTGTAGCAGACAAAACAGATATTAAATTAAAAAAAATTCTCAAGAGAAAAGCCAGTCATTATATAGTGATAAGAAGGTCAATTCAACAGCATTAAAAATATATACATTTTCCCCCCACACCAAAACACCTAAATTTAGTAACACATAAATACATTGACAAATGTGAAGGTAGAAATAAACAGAAATATGATAATAACTACCCATTYTCAATAATGGATAGTCCCAACTGAAAAAGAATAAGGACAAAACTGAACAACACAATAGACCAAAGGGATTTAACAGATATATACAAAACATATTACCCAATGACAGCAGAATACTCATTCTTCTCAAGTGCACATGGAACATTTTCCACAATGTAGACTATGCTAGGTCACAAAATCAAGACTTAAAAAATATAAATGGCTGAAATCACCAGACGTGGAAGTGCATGCCTGAAATAGTAGCAACTCAGGAGGCTGAAGGCAGGAGGATCACAATTGCCAGCCTCAGCAATTTAGTGAGACCCTGTCTCAGCTCAGTGATAAATCATCCCTGGGTTTAACTTCCAATATAGAAAAAAACAAAACAAAACAACCAACCAACAAACAAAAAATCCTCTGAACAAAGCCCAAGACCAGTTAATTCTACCAAACATTTAAAGAATAAATACCAATCCTTCTTAAACTATTCAATTAACAACAACAACAACAACAAAAAAAAAAAAACAGAAGAAGAAATTCTTCCAAACTCATTGTATGAGGCCAGCATTAGCAGGATATCAAAGTCAGATAAAGATACTACCAGAAAACTACAGGCCAAAATCCCTAATGAACACAGATTAAAAAATCCTCCATAAAAAACTATTAAACAAAATTACACAACACATTAAAAGGATCATATTCCCTGACTAAGCAGGATTTATCCCTGGCATGCAATGATGGTTCAATATATGCCAATKAATGTGATATATACCACATTATCAATATGAAAAATAAAATTGATATAATCATTTCAATAGATTATAAAATGTTGACAAAATTAAACAACTTTTCATGATAAAAGCTCTCAAATTAGCTAAAACAGAACTTACCTTAACACATACACACAAAGACATTTATGAAAAGCCCATAGCTATTGTCATACTAAAAATGGTGAAAAAYTTAAAGCTTACCTTAAAAAAATCTGGAACAAGGCAAGGTGCCCACTCTTGCCACTCCTATTAAACACAGTACTAGAGGTTCTAGTCAGAGCAATTAGGCAAGAGAAATAAAAAAAGCATCCAAATCAGAAAGAACTTAAATTGCAAAATGTTTGTTTGCACAAAATCTGTTAGAACTAAAAATGCATMAAAGTTGCAAGGTGTGAAATCAACATACAAAAATCAGTTGTATTTGTATATATAAAAAATCTCATTTACAATAATATCAAGAATAATAAAAAAGAATAAAATTAACCAAGGACATAAAAGACTTACTTAATATACTGCAAGAATTACTATTACCTAAATGTCCATACAATCAAAGTGGCCTACACATTTARTAAAATTCATATAAAAATACCAATGGCATATTTCAGAGAAACAGAAAACAAACAATTCAAAAATTTATAAAAAACCCTGAAAACAAAAACAATTTGGAACAAGAACAAAGCCAGAGTTTATCATACTCCCAGATTCCATCACATTATCACAAAAAGCTTCAATATGGTAATGGCTTTAAAACAGACACATAGACCAACAGGACAGAACAGGGAATCAAGAAACAAACCCACATATAGATGGTCAACTTACTTTTGACAGAGATTCTAAAAATCTAACAATGGGGAAAGATGGTAGTGTCAAAAAAACTAAATATCCACATGAACAAGAATGAACTAGATCTTTTTATTGCACTTCACACACACAAAAAAAATTCAAAATAAACCCAAAATTGATTTGAAACTTTAAATATAGGACCAGACACTATAAAACTCCTAGGAGAAAACACAGGAGGAATATCTTCTTGACATCGGACTTGGTAATGATTTCTTGGATACAACACCAAAAGCACAGGCAAAATAATAAAAAGATGATATCAAGTTAAAAAATTTAACCCTTGGGGCTGTGGCTCAGCAGTAAAGCACTCACCTAGCACGTGCGAGGTGYTGGGTTCAATCCTCAGCACCACATAAAAATAAAGGTATTGTGTCCAACTACAACTGCTATGAAAAACAGTAATCAAAAAGTAATAAAAAACTAATCCAAAACTCTAATTTTGTAATCCAAAACTCCAATTTTGGGATATTTATGGAAAAGAACTGACATGAGGAATAAAAGTGATATTTGCATTTGCACTCTCATGATYAGAGCAGCATTATTTACAGTAATGATTTCTATATAAATCACCAAAAGCACAGGCAACAAAAGCATAATAAAAAAATATGGGAAAGACCTAAATATTCATTAATGAATGAATGAGAAGAAAAATGATATGTTTTAATGTAGCAGTTAAAAATAAATTTCATTTAAATAAAATAAATGTGGTATGCTGTACACATACAATGGAAGATAATTCAAGCTCAAAAAAAGGAGAAATTCTTCCATTTATAAAATACAGATAATCTGGAGAAAATCATGCTAAATTAAATAAGCCAGTTAGAGAGGGACAAATATTGTATGATTCCACTAATATGAGATGACTGGAAAAAAAAAGAGTACAATCAGTGGTTGTCAGGGGTTTGGGGGAGGGAGAAATGTTTACATAACTTCAGTTCCATGRGATGAATAATACTGTACTATATACTACCCTGCTAATTTTGGAAAGATTTTATATATATTCAGGAGGCAAGCTTCCTAATTAGACTTTGTAAAGTTTCCAGCATGAGTAAATGAATATATAGAAATGAACACTGAAGAAAATTTTGTTTTGTTTTGAGAGAAGTAGAGCAGTCAGAAGGCAAATTAAAAACTGTGCTTTGGACATGAAAAGTTTGGAGTACCTATGAGACATCCTAATACGCGACATCAAATAGGTAGAAAGTGTATAAATTTATTTTATKAAGCACTGAGCACAATGAATAAAATACGAGAAAATTTAGATAAAACCTAAAAAAGTATTTAAAAATCTTTATTCATGACAATTTTTAAATTAAAGTCTCAAATAAGAGACTATTTTAATTCCTCTCACACATAACCAGTGACTATTTCCTTATTCCCTTGGATTGTGGGGTGTATTCTATGATGTTCCCAAATACAGAAAAGAAAAAAAGAGGTATTTAAGGTACTTTTAGATTAGCCAAGAAAGATATCATACAGCCGAAAAACAGAGAAAATATAAATTTTTATCAATTTGGGAAGATGAAAATTTCAACTCATGTGTAAATGATGGACACACATACACTCACAAAGTTATCAACTGAGTTTATGCAGTCTGCCTGCATAAATCATGGGATGCTCCAAGATTACTTAAATGGAAGACTCATTTAATAAAATAATAAGCTGGGAATATCAAGATTGAAGTAAAAAAAACAGTTTTGCCACTAAGTAGCAGTCAATCTGTGCTGTTTCTCTTTAATAAATTGAAGATTTATTGTGTTCTACTTGATCTTTAATAATACAATAATGGAATGTGATGAAATATGTGAAATTACTTATAATAAAGGCAGAAAGGTCAACTAAGTATGTGTGTGTACATGTGTATGTATTTGGCTTTTAGGGACTTCAGCTTTTTAACTTGAAAAATGTCCTTATGAATGAAAGATCAACTTCATTTCATTTTCTAATGCTTTCTGTTCAATATGACAAGGAAGAATAAAATACTCAACCAGCGAAAAGGAAGTTATTAGTAAAGGAAATGACTTAAAAAAGATCTCATTACTAATTAGAAAAGTATCATATACAGAGAGTTTTTAAAAATATTTTTATGTGGTGCTGAGGACTGAACCCAGTGCCTCATACCTGCTAGGTAAGCACTCTACTGCTGAGCTACAACCCCTGCCCTACAGAGGTATTTTTATACCTCAGGAAAATAAATTTTTTTACAAGTAAACAGTGTTTCCCAAAAGTTGGTACAACATTAAATACTTTAATATAAATGTAACCTGGCATGACAAATATTCTATGTTGAAGAAATGCTGTTGATCTAATAATACAACTTTTTAAAAAATGCACACCTTTTCCTCCAGTTTCTTCTTCTCTTCACTGAATTGGTTTATTCTTTGCTTGAGAAATTCATTGAGCTGTGAAACCTCTTTTTCAGTAGATGCAAGTTTCTGCTCAAGTTCCTCTTGCTGGGGATGCAACACTGACTGCTCTGAAAATGGAGTCTGGAGTGAAGTGTTCTCATATTGTGGCTATTGGGAAAGAAAAAAAGTAGGCAGTTAAGATTTTAAAAGTTTACTTAGGGGACACACTGTTTCTCTGTGAGGTGAGTGAAAGAGAGATTTTGCTAAAACTCAATATTGGGCAGTCAGAGTGCCTCAGAGACTAAGAAATTTTGGGAACATTAACAAGGAAAAGGGACAACACTGGAGTCAAGCTGCTTGGGGGAGCAGTGGCATTAGCACAGAAGGAAGGAAGTCACTGAAAAATACAAAGGATGGTCTTCGTACTGAAAAACCTGGGATTGCAGGAGCAGCCTGCCCTAGGCCGATTCAGAGGCTGGACGATACAATAAACTGGTACAWGAAAAATGACTTGTCTTTCCCAATTGTCCACAGAGAACTGAGACAGGAACCATCTTGAGGCATCCACACTGCAGTAGCACTGACAGGAACCAGGAACTGGGATCCATGAGACTGGAGCTGGGACAACCCATGGAAAAATAGGCAGAGACTATTTTGCCCAAGAGAATACAAGTCTGAGAGGCCATAGAGAGCCCAGCTCCTTCCTCTGTCTGGATACGGCAACTCACAGAACCAGCTGAAGTGGTTCAGGAATTTTAATGGGCAGGTATGACCACACTTGGGGACAAAGCCCAAGAAGCCAGTAAAGGCTGATTCTCCAGGCAACAGAAGCTGAAGGACTGGCTCCACTCCCCCACAGTGGAATCCTAAGGAGACTACTGAGGTACAGTATCCCARAATAGATCAGCACCCTAGAGGTACACTGATTTGGTATTCCAAACTGCTCACCATTCATTAAAGCAAGTGGGGCCTCACTAGACCTAAGCTCCATCTTTGGGAGCTCTACCTATAGGAACTCCTCTCACAGAACCTAGCAGTGACTTCACACTGGGAGTGGAGCTGACAAATTTCCCATCCCCCCGCCCTACTTCATACCACCAAAGAGAAGATGAGAATTTGTGAACTTCAACTGGTACTTTGGTACAAAACAAAAAAAAAAGGGAAGGATTTGATAGCCTGCTGCCCCTATTCTTGTACTTGGTGCATATCTCAAGAAGAAATGGAAAGACAGTTGGGCACAGACAGCTACCATATTTTCTCATTGACTATTTTGTCAACGGACATGAAAATTATTCCTTAATTTTTCATCCATATTCTCTTTTGTGCACGTGTGTGGTGAGTGATTCATGGACATTTACACATTTTTGTTTTTATCTTCTCATTTCTAGAATTTTTTGAAGGTAGTCACTACTTTGTCTTTGAGGGCTAGAGTTTCCATTAGTATACTGACTGTTTTGAATTGTTTTTCACTTGTCTGTTTCCCTTGCTCCTCTTTCTCTCTTTTCTTTTGCTGACAGCCAAATTCTATTGTTCTTACATTCTTCCTTTCACTTTTTACTTCTATTTTCTCCCCCCACCTCATAACTACCACATCCAACATTTCCTCTTTATTTTCCTTGTTCACTTTTTGAAATTGCAAACTCTTTTCAACCCACCTATCTCTTCTTATTTCCTAATTAATTCTAGTCTTAAAATCTTTTAGCAATAATTGTTTTATATAACATCTGCTCCCAACATTAATGCTGAATTCATGCTGTACGTAACAATGCTGCAGAAATCATAGATAACATCTCGTTTGATTTTGTGCCAGACACAATACGATTCTTACWGTTTTAGTAAATTGCTGATCCTACTACTTCTGTTTATACCAGTTAATATTGTAGATGTCATAGTAAGAACCAAGTGTTTAGTTTAAAGCTGGTTTGTTACTATTATTTCTCTCCCCTAATCTGTTAGGTAATGGAAACCAACAGGACATTACTAAGTTCTTAGGGTAGGAACTCTGGAGCTGAAGCAGCAAACAATATGAAAAAGCAAGAGAAAAAAAAAAAAAACATCCAAACAACCCAGAATGCCTCAACAATGAACTCCATTGACACCACAGTGGGGAAAATGTCAAAGAAGGAATTTACAAAGTACGTAGTTAAACTGATCTACAACATAAAAGATAACATGAGAAGTAAAACAGAGAAAATATTTCAAAACGGAGATAGAGATTCTGGAGAAAAATCAATTAGAAATTTTTGAAATGAAGAAATCAATAAAGCAAATTAAAAGTTCGATGGAAAGCATCAACAATGGATTAAGCCATTTAGAAGATAGAGTTTCGGGTAACAAAGTCAAAACACATTATTTTGAAAATGAAGTTATTCTTAAAGAAAAGATATTAAAASACCATGAGCACAATTTTCAAGAAAGTTGGGATAACATTAGAGTCCATCTTTAAAAATTCACCAGGATAAATAAAGACTCTGAAATACAAACCAAAGGAATGTACAATCTCTTCAATAAAATAATATCAGAAAATGTTCCAGACCTTAAGAATGAAATGGAAAATCAAATATGAGGCATACAGAACTCCAAATATACAAAAATCACAACAAACCCATCCCAAGATACATCGTTACAAAAACCTAACATACAGAATAAGGATAGAATTTTAAAAACTGTTAGAGAAAAATGATTGTTCATATTTAGAGGTAAAGCAATCCAGAAGCTAGGAGGTCCAGAAGCTAGGAGGTCTTAGAATAATTTATACCAAGTTCTGAAAGAAAATGGATGCCAACCAAGAATACTATACCTATCAAAATTAAGCTTCAGAATTGAAGATGAAGTAAAATCTTTCATGATAAACAAAAATAAAAAAGAATTCACAGGGGGCTGGGAATATAGCTCGGTTGGTAAAGCACTTGCCTCATATGCACAAGCCCCTGAGTTCAATCCCCAGCACCACACAACAAATGAATTCACAACTAGAAAGCCTATACTATAAACATACTCAATAAAATATTTCATGAAAATAAAATAGTAGAGTAGTAGAGGGAAGAACTATACTAGAAGAAGAATGAATCAAAGAAGAAACTAATTCAAATTAAAAACTAGAAATAAATCAAAATGACAGAGAATAAAAATCATCTCAAAAAGAACGCTGGATGTAAATGGTCTACGCTCATCAATCCAAAGCCATAGGCTGGCAGACTGGATTAAAAAAACAAGTCTCAACAATATGCTGTCTCTAAGAGACTTACTTCATGGGCAAAAACATCAACAGACTGAAGTGAAAATATGGGAAAAAAATATATCATTCACATGGATCTCGTAAACAAGCAGGGATTACTATTCTCATATCAGACAAAGTAGACTTCAAGTTAATCAAAAGAGACAAAGAAGGTCATTTTATACTGCTTAAAGGAATCACACAACAAGAAGAAATGACAATCAAAAATACTTATGCCCTAAACAATGGGGCACATTCATACATCAAACAAACCCTTTTCAATAACAAGAAACAAAAGACCACATCACAATAATACTGGGTGACTTTAACATATCTCTCATCACTTCATAGATCTTCCAAACAAATACTAAAGAAGCTATGGAACTAAAAAAATACAATCGAACAATTTAGACTTAACAGAAATATATAGAATATTTTAACAATAACTGAATATACTTTCTTTTCAGCAGCATATGGAATATTTTCTAAAAAAGACCATAGTTTAGGCCAAAAAGAAATTCTTACAAATACAAAATAATAGAGAATAGTACCTCACATTCTATTAGAWCATAATGAAATGAAAGTAGAAATCAATGGTAAGATAAAAAGAAACTATTACCTGGTGAGTAAATAATATACTATTGAATGATGAATGAATAACAGAAGAGAAATCAGGGGCAAAATTTTTAAAATACTTAGAAGTAAATCAGAATATAGATGATATGTATGTCATATGATTTTGATAAGTTGTATCATATCAAAATATGATATGTTATATCATATCAAAATCTCTGAGAAGATTTTGAAGGCAGTTCAAAGAGGAAAATTCATAGCATTGAGTGCATATATTAAAAGAACAGAAAGATACCAAATAARTAATCCTACACTACAGCTCAAGGCCCTAGAAAAAGAAGAGCAAATCAACACCAAAATCAGAAGACAGGAAATAAAATCAGAACCAAAATTAATGAAATTTAGATTTTAAAAACAATTTTAAAAATCAACAAAACAAAGTTGGTTCTTTGAAAGAATAAACAAAATTGATAACTCTTAGCCAAGCTAACCAAAGGAAAGAGTAAAAAAACTCAAATTATTAAAATCTGTGATGAAAAAGGAACTATTGGCACAGATGTTGAGAGCCACAGCCGAAGGGGCCCCAGCAAACTTCCAGCTGCCAGCTGATGATTGGCTCACAGCGGCCCCAGCAACTTCTAGCTCATTGGGCTGTTTTGTGGCCCTTTGAGACCATGGAGCTGCTCATTGGGGGACTTTTTTTTGGATCCGCCCACATGACCCAGCCAATGGGCCTCAAGAGCAGGAGGAGTGGGGGAGGTTGAGAGGCTTGTGGGAAGCCGGTGGTGGCAGTTGGGCTCTGAAGATTTTTCCTGGGAGCAGTCTCCATTGGTGTGGTTTCTATTTGTGTTATAAAGCTCTTGGGTTTAGGATCTGGTTTTCTACAACTGGAAAAGATTTCTTGGTGGATCCTCTGGAGCTGAATGATAGGTTGCATCTTCAAAACTTGGGAAAATCCATCTCCTTGTTCAATCAATGCAGGGAAAGCCTTCATGGCTTCACTGATCACCTTAGCTATGGTTTCCCCTCTGCATTTCAGACTTTCCTTGCGAGAATCTGAATCAGGGTCATATTTTAGATCCAATGGAGGAACAACAGGTCACAGACACTACTGAAATACAGAGGATAATCAGAAAATATTTTAAAAATTTATACTTCATTAAGCTAGAAAATTCTGAAGACATCAACAAATTCCTGGAGACATATCACCTACCCTAATTGAACAACTAAGATAGAGAAAATTTAAATGATCAGTTTTAAGTAATGAAACTAAAAAAGCCTACCAACAAAGAAAAGTCCAGGACTGAGTGGATTTTCAACCAAGTTCTACCAGACCTACAAAGAACTAACACCAATCCTCCTCAAATTATTCCATGTA